AGTTCGGTTAACAGCCGAGTTTGGTTAAGCGACTCCACAACCGTGATATATTTATCTAGTAGGTAAACATTACATATTGCTTGTTATTTTACCTATTTAATAGTTCTTTTTGATTGCAAAATAAAAAGTTTGGTGAGTTTTAAAATATCCAACCAAAATATTATAGTGTATACCTATAAACATTTATATCATACTTGTTCTACAAGGGAATTTATTTGAATCGATGATTGCAAAAACGACACGAGTCACATTTTTTATGAAACGTCATGAGTCAGAAAACTTTGAAAGTCAGTAATAAAAAAACATCATATTATTTATATATACAAATTATGTGTATTCAGTGTATAATATATTTCTACAAGTATTTATTTTTATATAAGAATTTTTTTAAGAATTAATTAAATTATACACTTTTTATCAATTATCCAAAAGTTTTAAAAATTGACTTATGTCGTTTCTGCAATCATCGATTCATTTAATACAAATATATACACTGTCAAAATATTTAACATTTGATTTTTCACTCAAATATAACCTGATAAGTATTTTAAATAATAATAAAAAATAATAAGCATAAAAATTGATCAACAAAATCGTTAGTCACATCAATTATCTAGTAATTACTGAATAAACAAAATAACTGTAAAACATATTTTAAAACCACTTTGAATATAATGAATAATTGTTTACGATCAGTAATTAGATTAATTGACTAGTTACTGAAAATACTCTTAACGCGGACCGTTTGGACCGAGTAAACTAAACAAATAAATACTTAATACTTGAGTATACTATTATACGATTAATAAATTAAGTAGTATACAATTTTTTCCTAATTATACAAAATAATTTTTGATATGCAATTTTCATAGTATAGAAAAATTTTAATTTGTGTTAAATTGTTTATGGAAGTTGTTTGAAAATTGTATTTATGAGTCTAATAATTAAGCTCTAATTATGTTTGGAAGTGTACAGTTCATTCTGTGATTAATGTGATAATATGGTACCGACAAGTGGGTAATAACCCATTATATATTTTGGTTAATAGGGAAATTGGTTTGAATATAATTTTGTGATCAGGTCAATTAGTAATTTTAATTAAAACATTAAATTATAATATGCAAGTATTTAACATCAATATTTTGAAGAGTGAGTGGGAATCCTATCAACAACAAAAATTATATTAATAAAACACTTAATATTTTTAACATAAAACTTACTTTAAGACTTTAATTAGAAGTTTTAAAATGCAATAGGATCCGGATCTTCTGAATACAGCAATGCAAGTAGTACTTATAGGTATTTACAATTTACATGTTATTATAATATATTTTAATCAAGTTTTGGGACTTACAGCGCCTAAAACCATAAAAATAAGCAATCAAAAAAACTATTAAGCTTTTAAAAATTGTATCATAAAAACTAAATTGAGTATGTACTTAAAAAACATTAAAATAAAAAATAAAAGAAATCTTAAAAATCTAAGAAATAATTTAGAATCCCTAATCCTTAAACTTCAAAAATTAAAACTAATAAAGTCTTTCTTAAAAAAATAAAAATCGTTAATGTTTTTTTTCTTATATATTACAGAATACTAGTCATTTGTTTTTTACTGAGTATGTATATGTTTTTATAACTGAAAAAAAAACAATTAGATTTTATTTATACCTAACATATTAACGTTGTTTTAAAGAATACATTAAAAAAAGAACGTTGAAATAATATGGAAAATTTAACATTTTTAAGTTTAGTATTTAAAACCATAATGACATGATATTAATTTTTATAGTACCAGTTCAAGCAAAAAAAAAAAAAATAGCATATATCTTAATTCCTGAACATTCGTAAGAACTTATAATGAATTTTAACAAAAAAATATATATATTATTATAAAATGTAACATATTTAAGGTAATTTATAGTTTACAATTGTGAATGCTATCCTTTTATAAGTAAAGATAATGGGAAATTGTCATAACGTTATAATATTGTATAAGCAAATAATTAAATTTATATTTTATACCTACATTTTTCAAAATAGAATATTTTTTTTTTTATATTTATGTTACAAAGTAATCGAGTTAACGTTACAATTTCATTAATTTTGAAATATGTAGTACATTTTAATACACATTGAAATAATCATTACTAATGATTAATGAATCTTGGATTCATTAGTAACATACTTATATTTATATTAATTTATAATTAAAAGTACATTGGATGCTATTTGTAAACGCGTATTAGTAATATTAAATACACCATGATACTGCACAATAATATAATATAATTGATTATTTTCAATTAATTGTGAATGAGTCAACGTATTATACATTAATGGACTATACAATAAATCAATTAATCATTTTAGTTTGATTTTTGATAATAAATTTACTATAAGTATTGTTACAGTAAGTATACACCACATACCTACTAAATAAGTTATTCACTTGAACTTGTGTATGCAAGTATAAGTATGATTATACCAATATAGACTGCTAATTTATTAGTTAAAATATTTGTATATTCATTTACGTGTAATTTTCAACGGATTTACAGTAACTTCAAAAAATAAATTATAGCAAATCTAAAGTTAACATAATTTTTGCAAAATTAAACAATTAATAAAATATATTAAAAAATACTTATAATTATATATATGATATACTATAGATATAGCTATATTTTGTATCTATACAACTAAGTATTTGATTGAATATTTGATTATTTGAATATAATAGCAAGCCGAGGGAGAGTTAGACCAAAGAAAAAGTGGTTAGAGGTCAGGGTTATGATTAGGAAAAATGAAGGCGCGTGGCATGGATATAAAGATAATTATAGGTAAAGAGAAATAGAAGACAAACATAAATGTAGTTGACCCCTGTTACTTGAAGTATCTTCTTACAACTATTATGTTTAAAAAAAATTAAATAAACTACTGGAGTCATAGAGGAAAAAAAAATAATTTTATAAAATCAATTATACTAAATTAGGATTTCTTAGTTTCTTCATACATAAAAAAAATATACATTTATTTATAATTAAAATAAATGTATTTTGCTTGTATTTTACTTTAATTACATGGTGATTTTTATTCTTACGGTCTTTAATTTACTTGCTATACATAATCTATATAATATCCTTTACAATGTAGGTATAATATGAATAATTTATTTTTTCTAGTAAAAATGTTTCATATATTTTAAACAAAATATGTCCGAGGTGTCATCGTTGTTCTATTAACTTCACTATAATTCCTAAATTATATCAAATTAAAATACTCTAAGATATGGTTCTGAAGTTGTATATAAATGTTAGACATAAACATACCACTTTTAGAATATAACAATGGGTATGTGGTATAATCCATTTACCTACATAAAATGTACAATTTTTAACAGTTCCGATTCCGATTATTATTCAAATATATTGAATTCTTTGGCACCAACAATCACTGCATTCGTCTAAAATATTTCAGAATAATAAATTTATTCTAAAAACTCAATGTCAGCTCTTAAAAATATAAATAATAGTTCATAAAAAACAGCATTAATTATTGTTTAATAGAAAATAGAAACGTGAGTAACAATTTATATCATAATTGAATTAACGTAGTAATCAAGTAATTCCGGTAGAATCGATTATTCCACGTTATTAGTCTAAGGAAAATAAAAAAATGTTTTTCAATAATTATAGGTATTATAAGTTTTAAAAAATAAACATTAATAAAATATTGGTCGGTTTTGTTACTGTACAGCATTTTATAATTTTATAATCGTTAGTGGTGTATTATCCTTCTAAACAAAATGTTTGGAATACTTATATTATAGAGTTAATCATCATATGAGCACAGCTCTTATTAAATAAATTATAATTTACCAATACATAAAATGCAAATAAATTTGCCGAAAAAATTTAAGTAGGTACCGTGTGTAAGTATATTTGTGCATTAATATGTAAATACCTATAGTATAAACATATTATTCGAAAATGGACTCGTGGAAAAAAATTACTTTCTCTTCCAGCTATAGCTAGTGCATATATAAAGATATATTTGAATCAAATGTAATTGGTGTCACATCATTATTATTATATATTTGTCGTCGTCACAATAATGCGTATATTATACAGTATATCCGCTATAAATCCAATACACCCTAAATTTCTCCACAATAAATCAGAGTTTAAATTCTTTTATTGTTTTAAACATATTTTATTAAAGTAGGTATATTATTGTCAAAAATATCGCATTCGAGTACATTATATTGAAGTATCGCGGGGCTGAGAGATACTTGGGGCGACGGAATTTTGCCACATACCGTATTACCTACATATTCGTACCTACTGCAGAATGTCGCGTATATTAATGCGTATTGCAAATGTGGATAGTTGATTTGTAACCACGAGCCGTGCCAAATATATCAAACATATCCATCGATACATATTATTATGTGTCATGAGACGCGACGATTTCACACGCGCGTACCCGATGAGAAGTAAGAGACATTGGAGGACGCAGACCGCATATATTGGAATATCATAATATAACACAACCGTCGGTATACAAGCATACCTCAATCGTCTATGTCCATAGTATCTGTTTAGTAATAATAATAATAATATAGCGGTGCGATAGGAATGTTTGAATATATTAAAATATCTTTACTTTTGAATCCTGCGTGGAGGTCTTCTTCTTCGCGTACATAACCGGATGTCTAATCATCATAGATATACAAACAATATTATATATATATATGTATATGGGTAGGTTAGGTTATATCTCTTCATATGTATATATATATATATATGTGTGTATTTATTATAAATTATATATAACATACTTGCGTTGCGTGCTTGTGCGTGTATATAAAACCGTATAACCCACTTACCACCATGATCACGTGAAAGTATTCGGTCAAGGTCCCCCCCTGGGTACCACGGCCATGGTCGGTCAATCTGATACCTACCGGCACATATATTAATTTTCTATTCGTTTTATACATGTCGATGTACGCGTTTGGAAGGCATTCGTTTCGGACGTAGCGATCGCGTTCGAACGTCCTCTCCATCATACACGTCACATTATTATTATTATTATTATTTCTTTCGTTTTATATACTGCAAAGTGGCACCTGACGCATCATAACGTCATCAAACATTGCTATTGTCTTAAGCTGCGTCGAAGGTTGTTACCGGCATCTCGTTTCTACGCAGTCGTTACCGTTCTCTCGTGTCGTTCGGTCAACATAATATAATATCGTATTTTCGACGTGGCTTTTCGTGTTGGCACGAGAAAAATGTCACTCTCCAAGTGCGGTCTCACGATTTTCGCGTGTGTCGCGATATTAGTATTGCAGTCTGTAGTCGATTCGATTGACGCTTTACCGACCACAGAGCAATCATTGTCGCAGTCGTCCACACCGCTACCGCTGTCATCACGAGATACCGAAGAAGAAGTACTTGGCACGAGTGCTTTAACTACTACGTCAACCGATGTAGTGGCTAGTGATTATGTGGTAAAGGAAACGTCTTTGGGTGAGTATAAGCTGGTGGTTATTATACTTTGATTCATAATTACATGAGGTGTGAAATATGCATTGCAAATGCGATTTTTCCAATATTACAATCATATACATATCAGGCATAGTATGCGTAAATATTTATTTATATAAATATTGAACAGCATTCATGGTTGAAAATAAAATAAAATAATTATTATTTGGATAGTAGGATTGAGACATACATTTTTCACTGTTTTTAAAAAAATCCATATTACATTCTTAAAAATAAGCCACCTCTATAGTTACGTATATCATGAAATTTAAATCGTTTGTTTTGTTTTATGATAAAATATTTAAATCGTTTTTTTTTTTTTTTGTTGTTGTTATTACAGTTGATAGTGAAAAAGGCCATGTTCATAAGCCTATTAAAAAAAAGAAACCTTTGGGCAAGCACAAGAAGAAAAAGCATTCATTTAAGGATAAATTCTTGCCTCTTCTTTTAATACCATTTGTTATTCAAACCATGCTCATACCATTTTTCATCATGAAATTGAAATTGTTAGCTTTGAAAGCAATGGCAGTGGGCAAGTTTGCAATTCTGTTGATCGTTTTTAATATGATACGTAGTTGGTCACAAAATGCACACAGTACTTCGATCCGTGGCTCAACTGGGGTAATTATTAATTCTGTCTAACATTTAATTACATTTGATACAACTCCTTACAAACCATATTAATTAAATATTATAAATCGTGTTTCAGGATTCAATGCTCATGGCTCAAAATTACGGTTTCAGCGGTGTTCCGGAATTTGGAGCAATATTTAATGGCCGTTAGTAATTGTCCAGCAGACAGTTTTTCTAATGCTTAATAATTTATTAAATTTATAATGTAATGCTCTCTGCACATGTTCGATATCGGACGTAGTGCTATATTGACATAAGACTATTTATGAACAAAATCACCAATGATGTATTATATATTATATTAATGAATGTAATATCTCGTAAGGTACATTACCTACATTTTATTATATATTATGTTATCATCAACCATGACTCAAAATTAGATTCAATGTATGTTTTTTTTTGTGCCTTATATATTATAATATTATTATAAGTATTAAATATAAGTTATTGTAGAACTATTTTATATTATTATATTTTCACATTGTATATTTATTACTACCACGTATAACTATCGGTGTAAAATAAAAATATTAAATAAGAATTTAATTAACTATTATTTTGTTAATTTAAATCTAAAAAATAAAAATGTGATTATTTATAATAAATATAAATAGGAAGGTATTCAAGTATTTATGTCAAGTTTCTATTAAAATACTGACTTATTATAATGTATTGCTATGGTTCATATAATATATTTTTTTACGTAACTTGTTAAAAATATATTCATTTTTAATCGATTAGGACCTAGCATTTGTAGTTTGTACAATAAATACCTTCCTAGTATGTTAATCATATTATAGCCTATAGTCGTTGTAACTGTTGATGCTCATATTATATAGTTTATTTCAATAAAAAAAAAATTATAATAATAATTTAATCTTATAATAATAACGAAAGGGTAAACTGATAAAATAAATTATATTATAGATATAGGTATACTTATTAATAAATGTACATTATTACTTCTGTATAGTTTTTATACATAAAAAAAATAGTTGTCTGCAGCAATTGTACAAAAGCCATTTATAAGTAGGTACAGCCTATAGATTTTAGTGACATACTAAAAAAATACCTAAAATTATAGACTATACATTTAAAAAATTAATTGTAATAATAGAATTTAGTTTTAAAATGTAAATACATTTTAACGAACTGTCATAAGAGTACGGCTGCGGATTGAAAATGTAAAGTACCTACGTAAAAGCCAACTAAGTATTTTAATGAACTACTTCGTATACCTAATATATAAATTTGAAAAAAAGTTTATGCATAATATTATAAGTTAGTGTATAAATAAAATATTATATAGGTAACTTTAATAACCATTCATATAATAATGATTTCAATCATTAATAGTTAATAAAAGTGTCTAAATTATTTTTAGTATTATTAGTGTCCAACTTGTCAATTAATATTAAATAGATTATGGAAAACGCTATTGTAATTATGGTACATATCTAAATACATACACTTTACAGTCATTTAAAGCATTATTTTAACGTGAAAAAAATACATTTAACAGACATGTTAAAAAAAATATCGGCAAACTAGCTCTGCTGTACCTACTTATATTCGGTGTCAAGTGTAACTCGATATTGAGTGGGTTACTAACCACCATAATAGATATATTGTATTTTAATTAAATAATAAATCGTTGTTTACGAAAAATGATTTTATAAGAAGATAAAAAACGTCCACTCATTTTTAAGGATATTTTATTACATATTTATATTGCTATTGGTAATTTATTTTTCTACTAGTAAATAGTAATACGTGATAGCTAGGTGTTAAACTAATTTTTAACAATAAAAATTGCTTCATGCATTCAATATATATGGTTTAATTATTATTATAATATATTTACTAGCGGTTATTAACCTAAAAGTCAATTATTATATACCAAAAACCGGTATAAATTGGTTCGTAGTATGAATAACTATAGCTTAAAATTAATTTAAATATTTTGATAATTTAATTCTGTGAAGTAAATAATAATTTATATAGTGCTATTAGGTTTCGAATTTTTCTATGAAAATTGAAAATAGTAAAAATTTTCTACTACATAATAATTTGCAGTAAATTGTCTCGATAATTCGGATAGATTGTGTCAACATTTGAACTTGAAAAAAAAATGTATTGTATTCATGCATCTTGAATATTTTTGAATTGCTATGAGAACAACATCTGTAGAATCTTGTATTAAATTTTCAATATTTTTTCCTACCCAAGCATTTTTTTTTTTGCTTTTTCCGTTTTTTCTTAATATTTTGTTTATTTTTACCAATTATAAAAAAGTATTGAGAATTTTTAATTTTTAATTGTTCAAAGTACAAACTAGATCAAATTTTCTATTCAAAACCATTTACAAAATTGAAGCATTTTATTAACTACTTGAGTACACAGACAAAAAAATACACTCATAATTTTAATAAAATAAATTATTCCGCTTGGAATTTAAAATAACATATAATACAACTTAATTTAAAAGAATTAATTATATACAACATATTTATTTATTAATCATTTTTTTATATAATTATGTATCTTTAAAATATCATAATCGTTTTTTGCACATATCCTTAGTTATATTATAAAAAACATGTTCTACAGAAACGCTTGACTGTAGCGTTATAATAATTAATAGCATAAAAAAATATCGTTAATTTCAGATAAATTGAATTAAAAAGGATTTTTTTTATATAGCATTGATAGATATGTCATTTTCATGATAAAAAGTTTGGCACTTTTTAAATAATTAATGCAGTTACTTCAATTAATAAACAATGAAGTCACCTTATAGCATTATTCGAAAAATTAATTACGTGACAATAACGATTAACTTTGTTATGCTACTACACCCAACTCTGAATATTTAATACTTACCAATAATATAAGTTATAACTCAAAATTAGCTTATTATAACATTTGATTATGAAATTAATACTTTTTTTTCTGATATATTACTAAAAAAAATTATTATGAAAAAGTATTAATGGTTTGTTTATTATTTAAATACTTAAATTTATTAATATTAATACAATTTTAATATAAAATAATTATAAAGCTAATAAATATAGTAGTAATTTATAATTTTTTCATTCTTCAATAATAATAATACAATTTTTTTATCTTTTATACATAAAAATTAAAAATTACATTGCATTATTAAAATTTTAAACACGAAATATCTTTGTTCAATGTGTAGTATAAGCTCATCGAACAAAGATGACAAACTATTAGTAAAACTTAATTTAAAATATAAAATTTTATTTTACTAAAACTTAAGTATTGCATTCATAAAATATATTAATATTAATATTAACTTAATCGATTGTAGGTACCTATTTAAAATAATAAAATATTTATTAATAATATTAATAACATACTATAATAGTCTTAGTTTCTATATTGCAGTTTATTTTTACGTACTGACTACTTATACTTATAGGAAACAGCTATTTTAATAGTCTATAATTAGTATTCAATATTAAATACTAAATATTAAGTAGCATATGTTGATAAACACAATAGTTTAAGTATTGAACAAGGCCGGGAACGTAAATAGTATGCGTGATTTCGTGAGTAAGTAGTTGAAATAATTTCAAAAAAATATTTTTTTCGTAATGATTTAATTTGAAAATTTTTTTTTACGCTCCTTTTACGTCCCTCAACGAGCTTAATCTGCGGTATTATTATATCTAAATAAAATAACTAAGTAGGTACAACCATTACAATGCACAGAATATAATATCATAAATTAATAGAAATATTATATAGGTACTTAATATATGTTTAAAATACATATATGATATACAAATTAAAAGTGGCCAGGAACCTTATGTAACAAACGTGTTGTACACACAATTGAGTAATTTCGGTATTAATTAAAATAATTCTGTAAAACATTCTAACAAACTAACATTCTAAACATTCTAAATACCGAACAGCATCTCCGAATACCGGAAAATATTTCAGTGATCAACAGTTTCCAGTATTCAGAGAGTTCCTTGTATTATAATATAATATGTTATATTATCCTAACCACTGGGGATAGATACTATTACTGGCAGTCGTAGATTCAGCACCTAGTTGATGGTTATCGCCTAGACGGTAATGATTCATTGTGGCGGCGTTGTAGTATTCCTCGCCTGCTCGATTCCAATACGCTCCGCTGCCTCCGCCACCTCCGCCACCTCCGCCGCCGTTATAATAATAATTGCCGTTGCTGTAGTTACTTATGTCGTCGTCGTCGTCGGCCAATTGCGACATTGGCGGTGGAAGACTCTTCGCATAGCTAACCGCTGGCTGCACAGGACCAGACCCGGTGTGCACATGCACGTGTATGTTTTTATCCTGCAAAGGCGGAAGTGGTTGCTGTTGGGATAAACGGTCGTAAGGATCGTGATGGTATCCCGACCAGGCCGAAATCGCAGGCATTGGTGACGCGTAGGGATTGTGAAACTTAGACAGTTTGGCCACTATACTAGACAAAGCTATGACGAGTAATATCACGCCAATCGTCACGCCCTTGAGAGCGAGCACAACCAGACCAATCAACAGCGTGGTAATCACACCCAACTTGTACATCACCGGTAACATGAACATCATTCGCCGACGTCCTACGCCAAAAGTCCGAACAACTGAAAAAAGTACAAAAACACGACAATATTGTTAGGTAGGTAATACTCATTTGCAGACATTAGGTAATATTACTTAGCTAACTACTATAACTATTTAAATTTAAAAAAAATGTAATGCTTTGTTTGAACTTGAATTGTTAAATTATCATGCTTAATAGATAATGAATGATAAAAAATATTATTTATTTATTTATTTGTTTCTAATTCGTATTCAAATCCAGAAAATTCTCAAATTGTTTTATATTTCAAATCTTTATTACATTTAAAATTTTAATATTTGAATCTTTATATTAAGGGCTTTAAAATGTTCCACTAAAATTGTTCTTGTAGAAATTTAAAAATATTTAAAATAATAAACAATTTTATTTGATAAGCGTTTTAAGTTCAAATTGCCCTTACTTTTACTCAGAGTCCTATTGGATAATATTTATAAAGGAAAATAATACTACAATTATTTTTTATTTGTTTTTGAAGGGCATTGAAAATTTTTCGAGATGTCATCCGATTTCTCCAATAGTAATTGTATATAAATATACAATACATTACACAAGTATTTATAATATTGTACTTTATGTAACAAGGTACATTCGCTTCACGAAATTATTATTAATATTACCGTTATTACCAATGTAAACAGCGGGCATGTAAATGTTGATGTCGTTAATACAATGTTTTTCTTATATAGTTAGGTATATACGATATATCTATGGATAATCATAGGTATTTATTTTTCATATTCGTTTTATATAAATCATGTTTATTTTTACAAATTATTATATTAAATTACTTTTAAATTTTTATTTAATAAATAAAAGAACCGTTTAAAATAATTAAAGTTCATTCACTATCAAGATGTCTAATATAATGAGTTACTTGTACTATTTTTTTTTTGAATACACGACTTAAATTAGTGTAATGAAGTTATAATTTATCAACTGTCATGTACGATGAAAAAGGAGACGTGTAAAGGGTGGGAGAATTTAGATCACTTTATCTTGATAAAGTTTTCGCTGCGCACAAATTGCGTCCCGAAATCCCTTATTCATAAATGAAATGCATCCCGACCATATTAAACGACTACACGAATTATGTCCCAACGTAAAAAAATTCCTTCCTACTTCACACAGACTTATGAGTGTCGATATAAAATTATGATTATCGGTAGCATAAAAATATTAATATTAATAATCGTTGTTATGCAATTAGAAGTAAGTAAAATTAAAATATGTAGGTTTAAATTATAGAATTGTAATTATTAAAATAAACTATAATAAAAAAAGTTATAAATATTAAATTAAGAGTTTAAGTTTTATTTAACAAAAATACACCAATAACACGGTCCAAACCAAACTAAAATTATTATCTGCTTTTAAGTACGTTCGTGTAGTCTTTTAAATAAAATTGGACACAATTCATGTAATAGTTTAGATAAGGCTAAACGCAAATCACGTAGTCGTTTAGATTCAGACGGATGCAATCCATGTACCTACTTATCAATTTTTTATTTCAGGACGCAGTTCGAACGTAGCTAAAATTATAGGTTGTTCACATCTATTAATTAATAGATAATTATTAAAATTAATGAAAAAAAATTTTAATTTGACAATCATTATAGGTATATATAGTCTGTAGATACTATTTGACAATTGGAAGCTGCAATGTAGTATTATTCTGAATTATAACTATGATTACTATTGAGATACCGTTCTAAAGTTAGTACCCCTCATTACTGACTTAGATATACTAGTATATATTATTTAATTACATTTTATAAATAGTTTAACAATTCTTTATTTAATTTCTTATTATTATTTATTTTGGAGGGTATTGAACCATAACGTTTCATATTTCATTGTTTAATTACATAATTAGCTTTAATTATTTGATAAAATAAGGGTAATAAATTGTAAATTGTATACATAGTATTAATACTTATGTATTATGTGTTTGAGTTCTAAAATATTTTAATTTATTATTAGTGATGAGATGATTTTGAATGACGTGGTTAAAAAAAAAAATTCTAGTTAGCGTAGTAATCATATAAATTATTTCTTTTTTAATATACACGACTATCGAACGATTAAAAACTTTTTATATTTTTAGCAAGACGATTGATAAAATCTTTAAAATTCTAAAGAACTCGCTACTCACCCAAAAACCTAATACGATTAAGAACAAATTTAGGTGTAATATTTCTATATAATGTAATTGACTATTAAAATTTCATCAAAAATAAAAATAATATATATATATTGTAAAAATAAATTATATGTATATAATACATTAAGTATAAATAAGAAATGTATTTTAGTATAATATACGTAATAAAATATATAATGTGTATATAAGAAATTTGTGATAAAAATGTAAATAACTCTGTAAATAATTATAATTATAATATGATGAAACATATAGATAATATACTAATAATGGGTTGGTAGACAATAAGTTGTAATATGTTATCTATATGCCAATTCATGGATAGTGTGAGCAAAGATATAATAATATTTTAATAAATGAACTGTATTTATCACCATATGTTTATTTTTATGTTTATTGATTACTATTTGGTCATTTTATTTTTACAGTAGATATAATTTTTACTTTTCTACGTAGTTCATTAACTCTTAAACGCATATTCGACTTCTTTACGATTTAAATATTGAAGACTAAAAATCAATTTAAGCTCTTTTCCTAGGTAATTAAACTTCTTATGTAAATTTTGAAATTTATTTCCTCTATTTATTTATACCAGTAAAAAAATATATCACGCTAAATTGTTTGATAAAAATGATCAAATATAGCAAAAAAAGAAAAATTATTTCTGGAAAAAAATAATATAAATTGAGCATTCTTACCGTATTTATTTGGACTATACAAATATTTAATACTTAGATTTGTCTTATTATTTTATATAAATTTATAATCTGTGTAACTTTCTTTTTAGTAAATAATGGATTGAATTTAATTAAAAATAAAATTAAAGACGTTTTGATATAGTATTAGAACTAATTTTTGTAAAACCCAAAAGCGCAAAACGAATTTGAGCTTTTATACCTTAGCAGCGAGGTAAAAACACAAAAATAAATTATATTATCTGATACAATATTGTACTCGTTACACTATAAATTCCATTTCAAAATCATTAATAATTAAATTAAATTATTCATTTTAATTAAATATAATATGATCTTTATATAATTCAAAAATACATTAACTGTAATGGAGTTTAGTCGAAGTTTAGTATCTTTTAAGTTTAGTAATTTAGTTATCGTATCAAATTTTATTCTAACAAATTACAGTGATATAGTTGATAACCATTTAAAACAATTATACAATATAATATATATTATATATTATATGTTTACAGTATAAAATTATATCAAATGGTATTTGACTTAATAACTATATAGATTATTATATAACTTTCGATTTATTTTTAATTGAAACATGTTGGAAATTCGAGTGAAATTTATTAAATCGTATATCAGCTGGATACCTATTATACGAGTATCAGTTGGCGTCTGCGCTATGATCGTGTGCGTTTGCGAATTATAATTCAAAAATTAACTTTATAGAAATGTAATTTATATTAACCCATATAAGTAAAGGTATGCAGTGCATTGTGTATAATAGTTTTAAGTATAGACAACAGTGAGTAATGGCAAACGGAGATATATCTTGACGATCGGTGAAACCCCAAAGTGCAAATTGTCTAATTTGTCTGATAGACCAATTTTATAATCACTTAAAGCTTAATACTATATAATTATGAGTATATGATGATATTTATAAAAAAAACTTTATTTTTGTAAAATTTATTTGCACTTATGATTTGTTAAAAAGGTATTATTTTTTTGCGCTTTTGGGTTGTATTTGTGTCATATTTTGCGCTTATAGGTTACAGCCACAAATTTTAACCCAATTATTTAAATTATCAACCAAATAAAGTGGAAAGGAAATTTTAGTTGGAAATCATAATCAATGGTTCTTAAACCCTAGGGGTATGTGGCAATATCGACGGTTTTAGTAATGGACACATACCATGAGCATAACAATTCAATTTCTAGGAACACATTTAAAAGTATATTCCTTTTTTATACTTAAGTTATCGCAACTTTTTTTCACTTGTAGTTTGTTTTATTCTCATTAAAATTAAATTTTTTTAAGAAACTATTCGAAAAAATAAAATGTTATTTGGAAAAAAATTGGAAGGGGTCCACTGTTTGAAAAAGTTTGTCATCAGGGGTCCGAGTAATTAAAAAATTTAAGAATCGCTGATACATAGCTTAGCATGACTCGTACATTATGATTATTTATTCAAATAATTATTCTTTATCATTTAAATTATAATTTATAAATACCGTGAGTCCGTGATAAAGAACAACTTACCTAACAGTCAAAAATAATTTTAATCCAAGACAATAATAATAATTAAAAAAACTAATACTAGTGTTTAATTATTAATTAAACAAGAAAACACGATGTACTAATTAGAAAGTAAACGCGTTTCTGCAAGAATAATGCTATAGCCAAGTTCACATATAAGTTGAATAAACTATTGTGCATAGTAGGTATACTTATATGGCAACACCAGAACAATGCTAAAAATTGTTGAGAAGTCGGCTAATATCATGATCCCAGGTCAAAACAACTAAACCTAGTTAAAAAAAAAATTATAGATTACGACTTGCAAAATTCTTAATTATATGTTAGAATTTATAATTTTATATATTTTTTTGTATTAAAGTACTACCTACCTACATGCTTAAATGCGGTCATTCAAAATAGTAAAATGAGGGCAATCAAATTGACAATCACAAAAAGAACATATTAGGTATCAGAAATACGTCTCAAATATATTATAAATCAAACATACCTATTGATACATTTGTTAAATTATACCTTCTATAGAAGTAGCAGGTGCTATACTAATATGTATGTTATAGTACCTTTGTCCTACACATATTAGATTATTGAAATTTTAAAAAAAAATAATAATAACTTTGAATCGTATCTATAATTTTACATATTGATAAATTAAATTTAAGAATCATATTTGTAGTGAGATAGAAACCAGATCTGAGTCATAACCATTTAAATATTTTAGATGTCAATGAACATAACTGTTTTTTTTTTATATTTTTATTATAGGATTTCTATTTATGTACAGGTTATATTATATTTCTATTTAATACATTTACGTGTTTAATATAATAAGAGCTATTTAGTACACATGTCGCTTTATAATTGATAGTTGTCACACAAGTGCATTTTTTTGTTGTCAGTAAAACTTTTTAAAAATGTTAAATAAAGTGATAAAAAGTTATTGGTGTAATTATACATATGTATTGCTTTCACATCATTAAATATTCTATTTTAAGAAATTTATAATTAAAATTTTTTTTTTATGTTTATTTTCTGTGAATTCTATTCCTATATAAAAATAATTATTGATCTCTTTAGAAAAAAAAAAAAAATTGTAATTTATATTTTGAGATTTGTTTCGTTTTGTTTTACAATATAAATTATTTATAGTTACAAGAAAAATATGTAGGTAAAGTGCAAACTATCGCATACATGTATAGTGTGGATTATATTTTGAGGATTTTTGCTCACGAAATACATATATTTGATAATAAGAAATAAGTAGGTATACGAAGTATTTATATAGATAATATTACTTAATAATATCAGTCTGCGTCAAGTTGATATACCTTATACGTGCAATACGACTACGATAATTTTAAAATTAGTTGCGATTTTAACGGACACTGCCAGTGTACCTACAACAACGATTTATAAAGATATAAATATCATATTTACCGGAACCTTGCGAATCTCCCGCGCGCCGAGTTATGCCGAATACGTATTGCCGCTGCTCCCGATCCTTGAACACCTTTAAATCCAGTCCTGGGGCTATAGCATCGCGCCACGACAGCTGATGGTTGTCGAAAACAGCGTCCGCTTGGGCCACGAGGTCGTCGGGCAGAGACCCCGGAGTCGCCGTCAATCCGTCTCGGGCACGGCTATCGAAGTCCACTGTTTCCAGCCACAAGTCGCCCGCCAGCCGACGGTCGCGCGTCGATTCGCGTACGCGACTCAGCGCGCGCGAGATGACCGAGCGCAGCCCCAACGGTGTCGGCGGCCCCGCGGTTGCACGGTCGTCATTCCGGTTAGCCGTGGGCCGGACGTCCGCAGCATCGCAACATCCCAGGACCAACGGCACGATCCAAAACCCGGTCCACCGCATGGCGATCACTGGCCGTCGCCGGAGTCTCGGCGCATAGCGGTGCAGGCGCACTGCGCAGTATACGCGGACACGGTCGTGTACCGGACGCCGGTGGATTTGATCACGGCGATTGGCGGCGGTTCGGCAAAGCGAAAAGTGAAGGAAATCGAAATCGAAACGATGTGATAATATTCGGATAACGTAAAGTTTGGGACACTTATATACGACCGGAAATTCAACGCTCGGACGATGAGAGAAGACGCGCACTGCTGCGGCGCGCGACTTGCTGCGGACGGACCTCCGTGGACTGCTGTAACACGTCTGCCGGCTTTTCGGCACTCGTCACTGCGTATTATTACTATTATTATTATTATTATTATTTATCGCACACACGTCTCGTCGTATAAGTAATAGACGGTCGATTACAATAATGATTCACCACCGCGTGTTTACCGGGTCATCGCCGTCCGGACGACGTGCAGCGTATACATTCACTCGAATAATATCACTTTCGCGCACGTATATATTATTATTATTATTATTATTGTTATGAACGACAAACGACAATGGCGGAGACGACAATCGCATACGAGTGTCCGCCTCGAGCGCGTGCGTATTTACGTACGAGCGGACGTGTACGATTGCCGGGCGCGTACGTTTGTAGTGCGCACATACGTATCTACATACGTATACATACCGATGATGATGGTTATCCGTCAACGCGCGGCCATTCGTCTTCGGCCCACATAAATTGATTTTTTGTCGTCGTCGGTTTTTTTTCTCTCTTTTTTTTTTTTTTTTTTTTATCCTCCTTGTGTGTTATTAAATGCGCGGCGCGTTCACGTACGCGCGCGAATCGAACGTCAATACGAATGTCGCGATATAACTGTACTCGGCGCGCGTGTGCGACCAGTCCGCCCGCGACGGCCTGCACGTCGTCGTACCCCGTCCCGATGGCGCGCCGTTCGATTCTCCGCGTGTCGCCACTGCGGCCGGCGGTCACTGCGATATCGTTACTTATTATCGTCGTTACGTTAACGTGTGCCTACAACACGCGTATAGGTACGACGTTCGTCCGCGTGTGCGTGTGTGCTCCCCTGCCTAGCCCAACAGAATGTGTGCCGGCGGCCCGCGAGTGGTGTCTTCCACCCGCCACCGCAGCGCCGGTCGGCGGAGATATTTAATAATTATTGTTCCGCGCGCGCACGCTTCCTCTTATACACAAATACATACATACATACATATATATATATTTTGTTTAATATGACTTCTATGTCTACGCTACTTGCTCGTTCAAGTAAACGTATTTATATTATATATATATATATATGTGTGTGTGTGTGTGTGTGTGTGATACTTTGAGTGCCGAGTGTGCGTTGGCCGGCCGCGCGTCGTTACGATCGTTCGGATTCCTTTGGATCACGACCTGCGCGTGTACGCGAGAGCCGCGTACAGTAATATTATTATGTATAATATAATTCAGTACACGATTAAACATTGTTATTATTATCTTCTTCGTTTCGCTTTACGTGGTAGGTACACGCTGGTCTAGAATTATAATAATTAATACTTGTGTCGGGTGGACTGCCCTAGGTATATACGTTTTTTGAACAACCAGTTTCTGTCCCACCCCCACCGCCGTACACGCGATGACGAGCAGTACACCTTGCGCGTACCGCTCCTTGTCGGACTTCCTATTTTATGATATTTTTATTATGTACCCGTGTATGATACACACGCCTATACGCACGTACACGTGCACGCGTGAAACATCCGAGATCCATTTTACCGGGCACACGATTTGGTGGTCCGATATAGTGGCCGTCGTGTTAATAACAAACCTAATTATGCTTCAAATCCGGTTTTACGGTTTGTCGTCGGCAGCGGGTCAAGCTATCGGCGTGTACGACCGTGAAGTAGGTAGTACCGTATAACTTGGTCGAGTGTGTTAACGACGTATCTATCCGTACGTGAAATTTCGACAATTCATACGGTCGAGTAGGTGTATAAACTTACCAAAATATGACGACTGAAAACGATTTGTAGCAATGAATCTGACGGTTTCAGGAGTTAACATTTGCCCGCCCCCGGCAAAAGTCTATATGTCGTACACTACGTCTATTTTAAAAAATGGCTTTTACTTAGTGGTCTAATGATTATTGATTCATATTAATGTCATTTCAATATAGTTAGTCTCTAGTATTATACCTATAATAATGTGTGTTTTAATGCACAATTTTTAAAATATCTTCTATTTACATTGTCTATTTGTTTTTAAATACTAAATTTATTTTTCTTTTACGACTTTAGCATACTTTTAAATTTTAACTTTCTGACATTGTATTTCTTTATTTGCAATATTGTCGGTCAAACTTCACGAATTTTATGAGTATACAGATATAGTTTGGTCTGTTTAGAACCCACTCTTAATTACAGATTTCTTTTTTATCGCTTTAATACAACCGAGTTTACAATATATGTAGTCTTCGTTTAAAAACAATAGTTTATAATTTTTATAATGTATTGTTATAGTGTTATACTATAAATATGTATGTTACATTATAAATATCTCTTAATTCATATCGCTTTATAATCATCATATATTTTAGCTTTCGTAAATGGTAATTATTGTCTGTGGGTTAGCGAAATATTATGGTTTTTGTTGGATTTTTAAATAAATGCGTTTAAACGAGTTAATAGCGTAAAACGTAAATAAAAGTACCTAGTAAGCGTTAAACATCGTAGATCATTAAGTAGGTATACCAGATTATAAACATAGTTGGCGTTTAAAAAAATGAACATCATTACAGTAGTACAGTACACATTAGTACTGTAGATATGTATGTACCTATGAAGATATGCGGTAGACCATATTTATTATTTATGAGTAGTATATATCATACATTTTCGTACAGCGTACACCAAAACCAAATTGGCAAGAAATACATTTTGGATGAAATGTTCAAACTAAATATAATAATGTTTATGTTTCAGTACCTTTATACCTAATGTTCAAACCGTTTTAAAGATAACTTTTTCATAAAACATTATATATATATAAGTTACCGGAAAAGATGATAATCAGTTATTGTCGTCTATCGACAATGGCTATAGTTGACAACGACAATGTCTGATTTAGCAAGGAGTTGTCATAAATGACTAGTAATTGACGTTAATTCGTTAAAAAAAAGAGTAAAGATGCTAAATATTACAATAATATTAAAATAATAAATAAATTAATAATTATTTATTATTATTTATTACAGCAAGGTAAACTACTATGACATTTAGAATTACATAATTTTGTAGAAGCACGACAAGCACACCTATTAGTTGTACATTGTGTTTTACAGTTACATCTCGTAAAACTTAATGATCGAGCAATGCTGTTAAAGACAGCTGATTGATAAAAATAACATCATATACTTACATAATGTCACGTACACTTCTTTTTTTCGGCCGTGGATAGCATTATTTTGAACTTATTCTTTAAGATTGAAAAACAAAATTATTGTAATTGCGTTTTTTTTTTCAATTAATAATGAAATTGTGTTGTCAAATTTTAATTGCATTTTATTTAAATCCATTTTTGAAAATATTAAATAAACATTTTTCTTAAACATTGCACAAACACCACTGTTTTCATGAGCTGTTTCGATACGATACGATATATAGAGTTCGATACACAATAATCAATTATTATGAGCAATAACAATTAAATATTGAGAAGTCAATAACATGAAATCAAGTTAAGATTATCTATAGTTTGTTCCATCAGTCCCGTGTCAATTTACAACATTGCCTAAATTAATACGGAATTCTAGATACAACTAACATCATCAGTAATTGTCAATAATGACTAGGAAATGAAAATTCTAGATTATCATCTTTATATATATATATACATATACTATACAGCATAATCAACACATGCTATAGCCTATAATGTATAATATAGGACATATAGGTATTATTATGCAAACATATATAGGTATTAAATAATGAATACAAGTGTTATTAAATATCATTGTTTATTCATTATTCAGTAAATATATTCCTATAGGTATAAATATATTACACTAATAGATAATATAAGCTGAAGTTTAATCTAAATTAAAATTTACATAGTGAATAATTTATATTACCAAACATTATAATATGTTAAAATTCAAAAAGATGACTAAAATACTTTAAATTTAAATAATTTTGTACACTGTAAAATTGTATTGATGTAAATACTAATTAGAGAATACGATTACTAAAATAGTATGAAATGTAGAATATTAGGTATAACATCAACTAAAAAAAAAAAAGAAGGAGGAGGTAAGTAACAGGCAAACCCTTTGCTGTGCATAGATGCCGGGAGTACATCTTCATTAATTCACTCTAATGTTTGTTTTTGTAATTTATAATAAATCATTGCATAGGTTCCTACAAAAAACAATTCTGGACAAAGATTTATGTGTATATAATATCCGTTTGCATAAATTACAAAGTATATTTAATGATTTATGTATACTATTCGTATTACAATAATAATTAGTGACATAGCAAGTTGCATTAATTTTGACCAAAAACATTTTATTTTTTAAATATTTAATTCTGTTTATAAAGCTTTAAATGTTTCAAGTGTCTAGAATTATATTTTTAAGATTTTTAAGCTTCATTAAAAAATACTTAAGCTAAATAAAAAAAAATCATATTATTTTTAAATATTAAAATTCTAAAGATCTTATTTAATATTTTCAAGCTTTTTAATCAAGCTATAATATTTAAAATGAAAACTAAAAAAATTATTTCAAATGTATACTTTGAAAATTAGTCCAAATATTTTGAAAATGGTATTGCGTATTAAAAATTATAATTTAAATAACAGTAGATTGCATCAAGTTTCTTCAATTAATTTTGTTTGAGTTATAAAAAAAAAAAAACTAAAACAAATAATTTACATATAAGCATATCTAATTTTGGCAAATTTTAAAATTCCAGGCATTTAAAAATAATATATTTAGTTATTTTTTATTATACATTTTATAAAAAATATTTAAATGGAACCTTAATACCCTTAATTTTTTAGACCTTAGATATTATATTTAAAAATAGTATACATTTTAAATAAAATTGAAAATTTCGTAATTTTTATGAATTTTGTAAAAAATGTTAACTTTTAAAATAATTTAATGAAACATATTGTAACTATGTATACTTAATAATTTTCAATTAATATATGAACAACTAATGAAGAACCTATAATATTAAAGTTTCAATTTTTTTTTTCAATGCAAAAACTGCATTATACATAAATCGAAAAATAACTAAATAAGTCTTAAATTCAAAATAGATACCTATAAACAGCATAAAAAAATATTACAAGATAACATTACTAATCCTTACAGAATTGTATAGTTTTGTTAGTTCCGGTTATTTTAGAAATGACATAATGGAAATTGTTATTTTCGACCCTCTCCCCTAATACCATGTAGATACCATTAAATACTACTGGCCTACTAGAAACTATTCACAATTTTATTGCTCTAAAAGGTATGAAAAAAAAAACAAATTTTGCGAGCATATAATTAATTTAGAATTGCATTATATTCATTTAATAGTTAATTCAAAATCAAAGTATTTTTTAGATTCATTTTATTTTTTATTTTTTAAAAACACAATTGAATAAGTTTGGTCTTTATCTCTGATTTTTGAATAAAAAAATATATAATAATAGATATATTAATCTTTTATAAAACGTGTAAAATTGAAAAAATACTTAGGAACATAATTAAATGCGTTGATGTGGCCAATACATAGCCATCATCAAAAATATTTTCTGCGTAATTTCATTTTTTACTGACCCAAACACATACATATTTATATAATATATAAAGACACTAATACTATTGTATAGTATAAACTTAATTTAAAAATTTGGTAGATTGTCAACTCCTTGATATGAATATTAAATTTAATATTTTTTACTTAAATGAGTTGTAGTTGAAATCAGAAAAACATCTGTAAAACGATTCCTTATAAAGTTTGGCAATTAAGATTTTAAGATTAGATGTCACTGTTTCAGTTACATGTTTATAATAAACAATTTTCTTACATACAAG